CACCCATCTGCACCGACAGCTCAGGTGAATGCTATCGAGGGTATACTGGGCAAACTGCTGGGCAAGTGTCCTGACTTGTGTGGAGACGGGCTCATTCCTGTTTGTATTGCCTACAGCAAGGCCCAGAAGCACCAAAGGTCACCTGAATTAGCAGAGCATCTACAAGGACTGAACCTGAAAGAGAGGCCTGGAGGTGCCCCCCTGGGGCATCTGGCCCGCATCCAGAACCTCTTCTCCTTCAGAGCTTTGGGATCTGGCTACTTCCCCCAGGCAGAGAAGAACAGTTTCCAGGAGCACCTGGCTCTGATACCCAGTGGTATGATGTCTGCTTCCGGCTGGGTCTCTGGTCCTCTTACATAGCTAATTGAACTCAGTAGATGAGCTTAAGCGATTGGTTAGTTTACCTAGATTTTGCTCCTTATATTTTATCTTTTATTCTTTCCCTCTGAGATAGGGCCTTACTATGTAACCCAGGCCTCAAGCTCAAACTCCTCCTTCCTCAGCCTTCTTTCTGGGTGCTGATATTTTTAGGCATGCATCACCACACCCTGTTTGTCATGCCCTATGATTCATATTAACTTTTTTTTTTTCTCCTCACATCAGACTTATTCTGAAATTCACAATTTTTCTTCAGGTGTGTGTTGAGATGTCTGGAGTCTTCTGACATTAAAATGAAACATGCTAAGCCAGGCGGTGGTGGCAGAGGCAGATGAATCTGAGTTCCAGGACAGCCAGGGCTATATAGAGAAACTGTCTCAAAGAAGGAAGGAAGAAAGGAAGGAAGGAGGGAGAGAATGATAGATGCTAATATGATATGAGCCCTTACTCTGAATGCAGCCTTTGTTAATTGCTGTGAGGGATAGAAAGAAGTACCAGCTGCCTGTTGCCAGGAGCTGTAATGGCAAGAGAGCTCACTTGAACTTTATTGACCAGAGAAGACTTCCTGGAGTTGTCTTGAGGGACTCTGTAGAAGGCAAGTCTGCAAGTACCTCTTGTGTTTGCTGACTCTGGGTGTGTCTTCTGCATATGTTAGGGGTGATTGTCTGTGTGTTGGCCCTGGCCACCCTCCAGCCTGGAACCTTGAGCAATACTCTTCTGCTGACCCGACTGGAAAAGGACAACCCTCCAGTTACTGTGAAGATTCCCACTGCCCAAAACAAGGTAGGGTTCCTGTACCAAGGACTAGATTTTGCCGTATATGGACCTTGATGCCTGAATTCTGTCCCTAAGGGATGGAAAGGTGACAGCCACTAGGTAAGCAAATCTCATAACTCTTCATCTCCCATAGCTCCCACTAAGCTCCATGCTGAAAGAGTTTGATGCCATCCAGAAGGACCAGAAAGAAAACAGCAGCTGTACTGAGAAACGAGCGTGGTGGACAGGGAGGCTAGCATTGGATCAAAGGATGCAGGTGTGTGCTCCAAGGGCAGGGAGAAAAGCAAGAGGGGAGGGGGCAGGATCTTGACAGGGTTTCTCTGTGTAGCCTTGGTTTCCTGGAAATCAATCTGTAGACCAGGTTGGCCTCAAACTCACAGAAATTTGCCTATCTCTGCCTCATGAGCTCTGGGATTAAAGGTGTACACCACCACCACCCAACTATGTCTTTAATTTTTAAGTGTGAGAAAATGAAATGACATAGACTTTCTAAGAGTGATAGAAATTCCTCATTTTTAAATATGTTTCCTATCTAACTGAAAGCTTGGCCCCTGCCCTAGGAACTCATCACCTCCCTAGAGGAGCATGTGCTGGGCTGCTGGCGGGGGCTGCTGCTGCCATCCAGTGCAGACCCTGGCCCTGCCCAGGAGGCCTCTCGCTTACAAGAGTTGCTGCAGGAATGTGGCTGGGAATATCCTGACTCCACTCTCCTAAAAGTGAGTTCAGGAAATGGAAGGGGAAGTGTGATAATGGTTTTTTTTCTATCAGCCAGGGGCACCCACACCCACTAATCATTATTCTCCTGTAGGTCATTCTTAGTGGTGCTAAAACCCTCACCAGCCAGGATGTTCAGGCCTTGGCATATGGGCTGTGCCCAGCCCAGCCAGAACGTGCCCAAATGCTCCTGAGTGAGGCGGTAGAACGGGTACGGAGCCAGGTGGCCCCTCGAAGTCAGCATCTTGTATTGGTCCTAGACAAGGTAAAGAGCTGGGGCACTGAGCAGTGTCTAGAGGGTAGTGAGCATGAGCTCATCTCTGAGCCCTTCAGACATCTGCATTTATGTGCTGGGGCAGCAAGTAACCTTGGAGTGCTTTTTCTCTAGGACCTGCAGAAGCTGCCGTGGGAAAGCATGTCCAGCCTCCGAGCACTGCCTGTCACCCGGCTGCCCTCTTTCCACTTCCTCCTCAGCTACTCCATCACTAAAGAGGTGGGAAAATGGGATATAGGGCCTGGGGATGCTCGATCCCTGGGAAGATAGGAGTAGCTGAATGATGGGTCAATTTTGGAATGGCTTTGATTATGCTGGCGGCTGGGCATCCTGGACAGACTAAGACCCTAATTGATAGTGCTTACCCCTCAGGCTGGGGCCTCATCGGTGCTGAACCAAGGTGTGGATCCACGGAATACCTTCTATATCCTAAACCCTCACAGTAACCTGTCAAGCACAGAGGAGAGATTTCGAGCCAGTTTTAGCAGGTCTGGAAACGAAGGCATAAAGTAGGGTGGGGAAGGTAGAGACACCATGCAGGGTCAATGCTTGTGCTCCTGCTCGAGTCAGTTGTTGCATCTCATTTCTGTCTGCTGTTCCCCTTTTCCTTGTAGTGAAGCTGGCTGGAAAGGAGTGATTGGGGAAGTGCCAAGCCTTCAGCAGGTGCAGGCTGCCCTGACAGAGCATGACTTATATATGTGAGTGTTTGGGTCAGGGAAGTAGGGTGAGGGGCATTCTGGAGGAAGATATCACTATGGGATGATTGGACGTTTTAGGGCCTCTGGAGACAAGTAGGGGCCTAGGAATGATAACTCAGTAATTATTTCTCACTTCCTCTGCCTTAGCTATGCAGGGCACGGAGCTGGTGCCCGCTTCCTGGATGGGCAGGCTGTCATGCGGCTGAGCTGCCGGGCAGTGGCCCTGCTGTTTGGCTGTAGCAGTGCAGCCCTTGCTGTGCATGGAAACCTGGAGGGAGCTGGTATCGTGCTCAAGTACATCATGGCTGGCTGGTGAGGCCAAGGAATGAGACTTGCCCTAGGGCATTAAAACTCCTCCTGTCCCCATCCCCAGGTTCTTCCTGTCTTGGGCCCTCCTAGAACTATAAGCCAAGGGAGCTCCTCATTGCTTCAAGCTTCTTTACATATCTATCACCATTAATGTTTTCCAATATTTATGTTATAGACCCTTACTTTGTATTTCTTCCGTTCTTTCTTCCCAGCCCCTTGTTTCTAGGTAATCTCTGGGATGTGACTGACCGTGACATTGACCGCTATACAGAGGCTTTGCTGCAGGGCTGGCTAGGAGCAGGCCCAGGGGCCCCCCTTCTCTACTATGTCAGCCAGGCCCGCCAGGCTCCTCGACTCAAGTATCTTATTGGTGCTGCACCTGTAGCCTATGGCTTACCTGTCTCTCTACAAACACCCTGACACAGCCTTATGTATGGTAGAAACTATGTGTCTACCTATAAACTTAGTTTTAACTATTTAGAATTTTTAAAGTGATTTTTCCTGGTGTTTTGTATGAAGTGTTTCCTTTTAATGTGACCTTAATAAAAGATATACCAAGCCTCGTTTTGTCTACAGACCTGACCGCTCCTCTCCTCACTCCTGCTGTGTGGATATAAGCAGATGGGAGAGAGCTTTGAGGAGGCTTTGGGAAGAAAGGCAAAGCCAAAAGACAAAGTTGGGTGATAAAAATTTCTTTATGGTTTATTAAAATGCAAAATCCTATGTACAAATATTAAAAAACAAAAGGGGAACCTGAGCCAAGACTCAAGCCACCGCTAGCCCCCACTGGCTTCCTCTGTCACATCCCCAATTGAAAACCCCACCTCCTGGACCAAAAAAAAAAAAAAAAAAAAAAGCCTTTCTCAGTTGGCTAGTAGACCAGTGACAGAATTCCCCATTAACAGCTGAGTGTGGCTGGGCCTTGGATGACAGAGCTGGACAGAAGGCCATCAAAATGCTTAAGTGAAAGGCAAGCAGATGGATAGACAGCACAGGCCGAGAGAGTGCTGAGGGTGTGTTGTAATGGCTCCATTGCCCTTGCCTCTGCTCAGTGATTTTAGAAACCACTGTTCTTCTCTATGATTAGTCCAGATTCTATGGGCTTTTTCTACTTCCATACAGTTCCTGTCTCCCCAACTAAACTGTTTTGAGGAAGCATATATATTTGCTTTTTTGAGACCGGGCTTCTCTGTGTAACAGTCCTGGCTGTTCTAGAATTCACAGAGATCCGACTGTCTCTGCCTCACATCTTACATTTATATACCGCTCATATCAAACACACGGTAACAATTATGCTGGCACTAGGCAGATGCTCAGCAGTTAAGGGCACTAAGCTGTTCTTCCAGAGGACCTAGGTTCCGTTCCCAGCATTTGGATGGAGGCTACCTACTAAGTGTAATTCCAGCTCCAAGGAATCCAGTGTCCTTGATACTGTACATCATATATAATACATACATACATATATATACACACACGCAGGCCAAACAGACACACAAGCTTATGCTGTACTTGTTGGTCAGCAGTGGTGGTTCTTTAGAGTCCTTTCCACTTCGTTTGTCCTTTAAAGCACCGTTCCCACAAAACACCTTAGTGGTTCTGTCACGACACAGGCCTGTCTCCAGAGTTGTCCCAGCAATGTGCAGTAGTGTATACAGCTTTACAATCTTGCGGTTGCGCCCTGAGGACTTTCAGGAGTTTCCAGTTCCTTGACGGCTAAAGCCATGTTTGCGATTTAGTCGTGCTAGCTATGGTATACTCAGCGAAAAATCTCCATTATCCTCTATAAATCAAGCTTGAGATCCTTATCTCCCTTCAGAGCCGCAGGGTCATAGAGACGAGCGGCGCAGAGTGTATCCCCGGGAGGCACCACAGAAATACCGCGGAGGCTGGCTAGAGTGTCGCACGCCGAGCCGGCTTCCTCTTCGGTAGTCCTCCTTCCCAACATGGCGCAGTCTATTAACATCACGGAGCTGAACCTGCCACAACTGGAAATGCTCAAGAACCAGCTGGACCAGGTGAGGCCCTGTCCCGGCACTTTCCTCGCGCACCACGTCCTCCGGCCGCGTGAAGTTGGTCGCCCCCGCGCCTTCCCGTTGGGGAAAGCTTCCTTTCCCAGGGAAACCCCTATCCGGTCCCAGGTCCCGCCCCCTCTGTCCGAGCCCAGCTCCCTCTCCGGTTCCCGGGCTGACCCCCTTTTATCTCCGCTTCTGTAGGAAGTGGAGTTTCTGTCCACGTCTATTGCTCAGCTCAAGGTGGTGCAGACCAAGTACGTGGAAGCTAAGGACTGTCTGAACGTGCTGAACAAGAGCAACGAGGGTATGGATGAGGCGGGTGAGGGCACCTGGGGAACTTTTGCTAGCCCGCGTCTCTGCCGTTTCTTCCCGCTCTGGTTTTCCTTAGAGAAAACTGCCCATTAGGTAGTGTATAGCCAGCCGCACGAGCCCCTGCATGTTGCCTACAGAAAAGCTAAAATGCACAAGACATCCCTCAGCTCCCGTCACCTCTGTTGCTGTTCTTTCACTGTCTGTGGATACTGAGCCCTGTAGGAGCTCCCCTTAACGTCTTCACGTGGGAGCGGCCAGCCTTCCCCAGCTGTTTGTCTTCGTTACTTTCACAGGAAAAGAATTACTGGTTCCACTGACGAGTTCTGTATCCTTTCCACAGGAAATGCTACCTTGCTTTATCCCTCAGTCATTTCCCCCAAACGGGGAGAGTTTTGATAACAGTCACCCAATGATTTTAAGAACAGTCATAGCCCAGCGTGGTATTGGTGCATGACTTTAATCCCAGCACTTAGGAGGCAGAGGCAGGTGGGTCTCTGTGAGTTGGAGGCCAGCTTGGTCTACAGAGTGAGTCCTAGGACAGTTAGGACTACACAGAGAAATCCTGGCTCGAAAACCAAAGGGTCATATGCACTTCATAGTTCTCTTGTCTAATCTAGGGCCAGTGTCTAATACTTTCCATCAGAGTTCAACGAAGAATTGAAGTGTAATGTTTCTCTTTGCTGTGTGGGGATGCTCATTTAATATGGAGATAAAACTGACAGCCGGCTAAAGCAATAGGAAAATAGTAGGACATTAAAATTGAGAACTTGGCTCTGTTAGTGTCATCTTAATTGTGGCTCATTCCAAAACTACTTTAAGAAAACTAGATTGTTTCCATCTGTTGAAAATAATCCATGAAACAACAGGCTAAAAGAGAAACCTACGAATAGCAATTTGTGAGGATTGCTTAAGTTAAATAATAATGACAGTGTGGTGCTGGAGAAATGGCTCAGTAGTTAAGAGCACTGGCTGCTCTTCCAGAGGACCTGGATTCAATTTCCAGCACCCACACTCCAGTTCTAGGGGATCTGACACCTTCATACCAATTCACTAAAACAAATGTAAGTAAATTATTTAGTGGGTAAAAATGTGCAGAAACACAACCTGAGTTCAGTCCAGTGCCCACATGGTGGAAGGAGAAAACCAACTCCCAGCCTCCACACATGTTCCATGGCATACACACTTATGAAAACATATACACAAATGTAATGTAAATGTTAATGATGATCTGAGGCTGGAGAGAGGGCTTACTACTTAAGAGCACTTCTTGCTCTTGCAGAGAACCTAATTTGGTGTAGGTAACTCCAACCCCAGGGATCCAGCAACCTTTTCCGACTTCTGCAGGCACCAGACATGCACACGATGCACTTGTATACAATCTTAAAAAAAAAAAAAAAAGTAAGAACTTGTAATAATTTATCATTATGACTGGCATGGATAAGGCTAGCTTTCCACTTACACTGTTCTAGAACCTTGGGAAAGCATGGTTGCATCTGATCTGGTCTTTGTGGAAAGACTAATGGGGGAATCTGGGTGGGATCAGGACAAGACAGTGATCCAGCTTCTGTGGTCTTCACAAGGAACCAACTCTGTTATTTGGGGTTAGTTCTGGCTGACAAAACTGTGTTTCATGCTGGGCTAGTTTTCCCTTAATCCTTGCTTCTCAGATGTATGTCCCTGGGAAGTTACATGACGTGGAACATGTGCTCATTGATGTGGGAACTGGCTACTATGTGGAGAAGGTGAGTTGGTTAGCCTATGGATGTCCTCAGAGAAGGTGTGTAGGATGGGGTCTCCTTTTATTCCATCATTGACCTCTGATCTTACAGACAGCTGAGGATGCCAAGGACTTCTTCAAAAGGAAGATAGACTTCCTTACCAAGCAGATGGAGAAGATCCAGCCAGCTGTGCAGGAGAAGCATGCTATGAAACAAGGTAAATTCTATAAAACTGTATCTGTGAATGTCTGTATGTCTCTGGGAGGTGTGGGGAAGCACACAAATGCGGTGGTACATGTATGGAGGTTAGAAGAAAATTTTCAGGAGTTGATTTTCTCCTTTCACCCTGGGTTCTAGAGATTAAACTCTTGTCATCAGGCTTCGTGGCAAGTGCTTCTAGCTGTTAAAGCCATCTCCCAGGCCCCCAGGGAACTTCCTGACACTTTATACCTCTATAACAAAGAACATTATTGCATAAGGCATGATGCCATGCACACATCTGTAATCCCCAAGACTGAGGAGGCTGAAGTGGGAGGACTGTCTCAAAGGAAACACAGGAGCCAGGGTTTGTAGCTCAGACTTTAATCCCACCGTTCAGGCTAGTGGGGACATCATGAGACTCTTGTCCCCACCTCCCAGAAAGACTTAATTGGTTTAGTCTTCAGGAGAGAGGTACAGTAGTAAGAGTGCCTAGCTTGCTGGTCGGCTGTAGCACTTGCTTTTGATCCCAGCACTTGGGAGGCAGAGAGGCAGGCAGATCTCAGTGAGTTCGAGGCCAACCTGCTCTACAAAGCTAGTTCCAGGATAGCCAGGACTATTAAACATAGAAACTCTGTCTCAAAAAAAAAAAAAAAAAAAAAAAAAAAGCCCCAGAAAAAACAACAACAACAAACCAACAGAGAGTGCCTTGCATATAAATGTCATGGGTTAAATCCTTGGGACCACAAAAAAAAAAACAAAAAACAAAACAAAAAAAACATTTACTTATATGTATGCATATATACATATAATGTGTTTGCATATATGTGTGTACACACATAATCCACGTACAGTACTATCAATGTAAATGAGTAATCCAGCTGTATGTGATGAGGCCCACCTGTAATTTTAGCACTCAAAAGGCTAAAGCAAGAGGATTCCAGGTTAGAAACCAAGCTAGGTACGTACCAAGATCCTGCCTCAGAAAACACAGAGGTTAGAGAAATGGCTCAGTGGTTAAGAGCATTTAATGTGCTTGCAAAAGGCACAGGTTCAGTTCCAAGCACCTGTGTAGCAGCTCACAACCACCTATAACTCCAATACGAGGAGATATGACTTCTTAATCTCCTACATAAACACAGTGCATATACATATGGTCAGGTGCACATGAGCATGAGTGTGTGCGAGCACACACATAGTAAGTATTAAAATTTAAAAACATCCAAAGGCTGGGGAATATGGCTCCATGGGCTTGGTGCATAAGCATAAGGACTCAGTACCCAAAAGCTGGGCTTGACCCAAGTGCTTGTAACCCCAGTGCCGGTAGGACAGATCCTGGCAGTTCACTGGCTGGCCAGTGAGTTACAGGTTTAGTGAGAGACCCTATTTCAGGGGACTAGACAGAGAATGATAAAAAGGTAAGATACCTTGTTTTCCTTGGTCTCCACACATGTGCTTAGTGGTGGACACACATAAACATACACACTCAAGAGCTTGAAGAAAACATGGATAGTAACATAAAACTTGGAGGTAATCAGGGCTGGAGAGATGGTTCAAAGGTTAAGAGTCCTGGCTACTCTTCCAAAGATCCTGAGTTCAATTCCCAGCAACCACATGATGAGATCTGCTGCCCTCCTCTGGTATTCAGGTATATATGCTAGCAGAACACTGTATACATGCATAAGGCGTGATAAATCTTAAAATAAATAAATAAAGCTGGGCGGTGGCACACGCTTTTAATCCCAGCACTGGGGAGGCAGAGGCAGGTATATCTGTGAGTTCCAGGACAGGCTCCAAAGCTACACAGAGGAACCTTGTCTCAAAAAAATGAAATAACAACAGAAAAGCTTGAAGGTATCTCCTCCAAGTTAAAACCATGTCTCTGCTGGATGTGGTGGTACACTCCTTTGATCCCAACCTTGGGAGGCAAAGGCAGGCAGTTCTCTGAGTTTGAGGCCAGCCAACACTATATAAAGAGACATTGTCTCAGCAACAACAGAAAAGATGTTTCTCTTTGGTACCTGATGTGTTATCCTGGGGGTTTGAGTGATTGAGAAGAAATCTGATAATGGGTTGGAATAAAATGTCTATAAACACAGTAGAAATCTGCACATAGCAATCCTCCAGGAAGTTTAAAAAGAAAGTGTAGGTCCTTTTCACACCAACTAAATCAGTCTGGAAAGAGGGTACAGGAAATTGCTCTTGATTTTAAAGCCAGGGAAGAGTTTGTGGCTTTTTGTTTTTGTTTTGAGACAGAGTCTCATTCTACACTATATTCCAGCAGTTATCCTGACTGACACGGTGTAGATTCTCAATCTGTGTGTTGTTTGTTTCCTTATGCCCTGCACGATTGAACAGTGTTCCTCACCTTGGGTTCTCTAGTATCTTATTATGACACTCCTTCTCCTCTCTTAGCCGTCATGGAAACGATGAGCCAGAAGATCCAGCAGCTCACAGCCCTGGGGGCGAATCAGGCAACTGCCAAGGCATGAAGATGTGTTGCAGAAAAGGAGCGTAGATGAACCCTGTTTCAAGGGGCCTGGGACTTTGTGGGCAATGCCTATTGGTGTCTGGGAAGAGAAGGCCTTGTGTTTAATGTTAATAAATGTGCCAGCTGGGCAAATGGTGGTCTTTTCTTGTGGTGGTGGTGGACGGTGTGTGTGGACGGGTGGTGAACTGGGAGTGTCCAGAGGTGTACGCTTGCCTAGAACCGGAAAATAGGCTATCCACTCTGCCTTTAGAGATTCCACCTGGGGCTTTGAGGAGCTGGAAGAAAGTAGGCACGCTTGTGGTTGCCGTGGGGATGGCTTGCAGGCGGAAGTGAAGCTGCACTAGACACTTCCTTTTCCGGGTCAGCCTTCCCTCGGCGGGAACTGTATGGGTTGTTTCTTGCGTGGTATTCTAACAGTGTTGTTGCCGCTGCGGTCAGTTCTCCAAATCCAGCATCGCATGCTCGGTCCAGAGTCCGTTTCGCCCCCTAAAAGGCCTCGCAGCAACCTCATGGCACCACCGCGAATCGGGACACACAACGGCACCTTCCATTGCGACGAGGCTCTGGCCTGCGCGTTGCTCCGCCTCCTGCCAGAGTACAGGGTACAGACGGACAGCAAACCTAACCTGAGCATCACCCTTCTGGAAACCTACCCTTCATCTTCTGATTCTGCCTGACAGCCCCTCCCTTCTGTGTCTGCAGGATGCAGAGATTGTGCGGACTCGGGACCCCGAAAAACTGGCTTCTTGTGACATTGTGGTGGATGTGGGTGGCGAGTACAACCCACTGAGACACCGTTACGATCACCACCAGAGGTGAGTTCACAAACATCTCTTCTCTGTTTTCATTTAACTTCCGTTTGTGCTACAATCCCGCCTTCCATTGCCCCAGTCCTTGAGGCCAAACTCTTTAATCGCTCTGGGACTGAAACCTTTCCGCAGGCAACTGAATCCTTCTAATTCAAGGACAGACAGTCCACTGCAGTGGCCTTGTGCTTTGTTTTTATTTTATTTTATGTGTATATTTGTTTCGCCTGGATTCATATCTGCACCAAGTGCATTGGTGTCCACAGAGGTCAGAAGGCATCGGGATGCCCTGGAATTGTAGTTAAGGGTTGTGAGCCACCATGTGGACGTAGGGGATTGAACCTGCCTCTAAGGCTGCAAGAGCAACCAGCTCTTTTAACATCCCCAGCCCGGTGATAGTTGGTTTTAATTTTGAATTTGACAAAACCTGGATTTTAGAATCACCTGGGGGATAATCCCGTGAGGGATTATCCAGATGAGGCTGTCCTGTGGGCATGTTTGTGGGATTTCTTAATTACCATGATAGACTGGGAGGCACTAATTCCTGGGCTGGAGTAAGTAAGCCAAGCACAGAAGCTTGCATAGGCTTGTTTTTTCTCTGCTTTTGCCTGTGGGTGAGATAACGATTCTTTAAGCTCCTGCCCCTTTCCTGCGGTGATGGACTGCAAGCTGGTGCTGCCCTATGTTGGTCTCTGTCAGGTGTTTTATCCAGGCAGCAGAACAGAGCTATGTGTTACCCACAGCAATATTGTCGCCCTCGGCCCTCACCTCACACTCTGCTCAAACTTCAGCGAGTGCCCTCACTTTCCCACCTCCATTTCACAACTCCTCCTTCCAGTTTAGGGAAATTTGTTCCCTTCTGTTGTGTTTGTTTGTTTGTTTGCAGTTTTTCCAGACAGGGTTTCTTTGTGAAACAGCCCTGGCTGCCCTGGAATTCTCTGTAGACCAGGCTGACCTCAAACTCGAACTCACAGAGATCTGCCTGTCCCTGCCTCCCTAGTGCTGGGATCAAACGTGTGTGTGTGTGTGTGTGTGTGTGTGTGTGTGTGTGTGTGTGTGTGTGTGTGCGCGCGCGCGCGCGCGGGCGTGCCTATGCCTGGCTTGTTTGTTGTTTTTAATTTACTTTTTATGTATACAGTGTTCTGTCTGCACACCAGAAGAGAGCACCAGGTCTCATTATATATGCTTTTGAGCCACCATGTGGGTGCTGGGAATTGAACTCAGGTCCTCTGGAAGAGCAGCCAGTGCTCTTAACCTTTGAGTCATCTCTCTAGCCCCTGGCTTGTTTTTTGTTGTTTTTTGTTTGTTTGTTTGTTTAAGTAAAAAGCATCTGTATGGAATGTGAATATGCTGTTCTTATTCTTTAAACTATAACATCAACTTACCTAACATCTTCCTCCTATTAAGTAATTTAGAGATGATCTAAAAGATACAAGTGCTGTACATTTGTAACCCCAGCATTTAGGAAGTAGGGGCAGGAGGGTCAAGAGTTAAAGGCCATCATCTGTGAGCAAGTTTGAGCCTGCCCTGGTCCCATCCAGAAAAAAAGTTATAGCTAGTCATGGTGGCACACACCTTTAATCCCAGGACTCGGGGAGCAGAAGCAGGATGATCTCCTGAGTTGAGGCCAGCCTGATCTACAGAGTGAGTTCCAGAATAGCTAGAGCTACACAGAGAAACCCTGTCTCTAAAACAAAACAAAAAAATATACATAGGAGGATGTGTATGGTTTGTAGGCAAACACTGCCCTATTTTACATAAAGGACTTGAGGTCAGGGAGCTACAGTTGCTCTGATGTTTGTCAACCTCCCACAGGTGAACTTGAAAGGACAGAATCTTAGATTTTTCTCCTTAATATACAAAACACAAAGCCTGGTATACAGTAAGTGATGTTCCAATCATTGTCAAGTGAATGCAGGAATAGAAGCTTTGAACCAAGGCCTATGATTGCACTGGAGGAAAAGCTAACATCTTTTGAGTGGGTTTTCTTCTCCCCATTCATACAGCCTCCTGCTGTATGAATTCCCCATCCTGCTGATACCCAGGTCTCCCCATGTAAACTTGGATGCACACACTCGACTCCTGGTCCAACTCCTTCACTGTAGCCCTTCCCTGTGCTCCTCAGGACTTTTACTGACACCATGAGTTCCCTGTGCCCTGGGAAGCCATGGCAGACCAAGTTGAGCAGTGCGGGACTTGTCTATCTGCATTTCGGGCATAAGCTACTGGCCCAGTTGCTGGGCACTACTGAAGAGGACAGCGTGGTGGATATCCTTTATGACAAGGTACGGACCTGAGGACAAAGCTGTCCTGTATATACATTCCCACCAGGCTGGCTAGGAATGGAACTGATGCGGCACTTGGACTCCCCCTTGTCAGCATCACTGGACGGTAGGGAACTGTCTTAATCACTGTTCTGTTGTGGAGAGACACCATGACAACAGCAAATCTTATAGAAGTAATTTTATTGGGGCTTGCTTATGGTTTCAAAGGTTTAGTCCATATCGTCATGGTAGAGAGCATTTGGCATTCAGGCAGACATGGTGCTGAAAAGGTAGTTCCACATCCACGTCAGCAGGCAGGAGGCAGCACACCACTGAGCATGGCTTGGTCATTCCCAGTGACACATTGTCATCCAAGGCCACACCTCCTAATCCTTCTCATTCAAATAGATCAGCCTGTGGGGGCCATTCTTACTCAAACCACCACAGGGACCCAATAGTCACCCTCCCCATCAGGTATGCTCTTTGCTCCTTCCTAACCTGCATCCTGGAGTGGGAAGTGAAGATTCTGCCTGTGTTGCTTAGGCTGGCCTTGAACTTGTGACTAAGTAGTAGTATGCTTGCTTCCCCACTTAAGGGCTGGGACTGTAAGTGTACATACCCACACCACTCAAGGGAAGAGCGTTGAAAGCAGCGTTTCCCAGTCTTTTTTGTGCCATACATCCAAAAACAATTATTCCAGGTGTGGTGGTGCACAGTTCACCCAGTACTTGAGAAGCTTATACAGGAAGATCTTGAGTTCAGGCCACCTGGATGCTGACTTAAAAACCAGACCAAAGAAACAAAGAATTATTTGCTGTTTCTCAGTAAACAGAGAAGGCTGCTTATACTCAGAGTCACTGGGTGCAGAGAGGCTGGCTCCCTGGCTGGCTGTCGAGTGTCTATTCCCCATCTGCATGCTTCACTAGGGCCACAGGAGTTGTCGGGCTTGAGTGGAAAGGACAGATTACAGAGGCATCTTCAGGTTCAAGCCAAACAGTACCAAGGCCAACATTTAACCCTGTTCCTGTGATTCATCCAGTCCCCAGCACTTCAGACAGCATCAGCCCTGAAGTCCATGAGCCCACAGGACTGAGGGGGACTTTTGGGTTCAGACCTTAGCTCAGTTCTCCAGCATCGGCCTCGGTTTGTATGTGCCAAGGGGGAAGAAGTGAGTAGGTTAAGAGTTTTGGGAATGCCAACGCTTTAGACAAATGGAGTTACTTATTTCCTGTGCTGATGGGTTTTCTAAGTGCTGAGTTTTATGTGAGTATCAAGCCTGGGTCATATAAGAGGTACTATGCATGGAGGCGTTAACATTTTCGATTCTCTGAGGTCAGTGCTCTTTCTACACATCACACATGGGACTGATATGAAGTACATTTGAGGGTAGATTCTCATCCATATCTCCTGCTGCTGCCCTAGAATTTGAGGCATTATTTTTTCTACTATTTTTTCAGAGTTAAGTGTTGTAGCTGCTGCTAACATATGGTACGTTATGGCTTCATCTCAGCCCCATGGCTCAGGTTTTTTGGTTTTTGGGGTTTTCTTTTTTGATTTTGCTTTTTGTTTTTTGTTTTGTTTTTTTTTTTTTAATAGCTCTTAATGTCCATCAAACACTTTCCCACTCAACTGCCTCATTAATTTGCTATACAGCCTAGTTAGCACACATTACTCTTCCCTCTCTTGGCCCAGGAATCCATTTCCACAATCCTACTTAGGAACTGAAATCCTTGTTCAGAAGTCACAGCCAGGTTGGAGGTTAAGAGCACAGGCTCCTCTTCCAGAGGACAGGATTTGGCTCCCAAAATCCACATGGCACTTTAGTCTGTGGCTCCAGTTTCAGGGAATCTGATGCCCTCTTCTGGCCTCCCCTGGTATTAGGCATATACATTGCACACAGGCAAGCAAAACACCCATACACATAAAAATGAATTAAAAGATTTTTTTTTTTTTGGTTGTTTGTTTTTGTTTTTTTGAGACAGGATCTCACTTTGTAGTTCTGGTTGTCCTAGAACTCACAATGTAGACCAGGTTGGTCTTGAACTCACAGATCTGCCTGCCTCTGCCTCCTAAGTGCTAGGATTAAATGTGTGCCACAATGCCCATCTTTTAAAAAAAATTAGTGAGGGCTGGAGAGATGGCTCAGCCCTTAAGAGCACTGGCTGCTCTTCCAGAGGTCCTGATTTCAATTCCTAGCAACCACATGGTGGCTCTCAACCATCTATAACAGGATCTCACACCCTCTTCTGGAATGCAGAGGGTGTATATGCAGAGTATCAGTGATACATACATACATACATACACACACACACACACACACACACACACACACACACACACACACACACACACACACACAATGCCCTGGGCTCACATGCTGTCCTGGTCTTGGCCACAAGTTTGTTAGAAGTCAGGTGACCTGAATTCCAGTCCCAACACTAAGCTGTTTCCTTCCCTCGTTTCTCCCTCTTTCCGTCTGGTTAATGGTGAAACACTCAGGACTATTGTGAGGAAGTGTGTTTACATTCTGTGAAACCTGTGCCAACTTTACAGTGGTGAGTATCCTCCCTCAAGTGCATCTCCCCTGCTACTTTAGATGTACGAGAACTTTGTGGAAGAGATAGATGCAGTAGACAATGGGATCTCTCAGTGGGAAGGTGAGCCTCGATATGCACTGACCACTACACTGAGTGCCCGGGTTGCTCGGCTTAATCCTACCTGGAACCAACCCAACCAAGACACTGAGGTAAGGACAACCTGAATCATATTAGAACCTGAGGACAAAGGAAGAACAGATGCCTTCCAAGTCCCGTGAAGTAGAACTTGGGCCAGTGCCCATCATGTTTTACGGTTTCCACCGTTCCCAGGCAGGGTTCAGGCGTGCAATGGACCTGGTGCAAGAAGAGTTTCTACAGAGATTAAATTTCTACCAGCACAGCTGGCTGCCAGCCCGGGCCTTGGTAGAGGACGCTCTGGCCCAACGATTCAAGGTAGACCTGGGAAGTAGCCTGAGAGCCAGGGATACTTCTGAGCTATCTGGTCTACTGGGTTTCCTGCTTGTACCTAACCCTAGCACACTGTCTTCCATTTCAGGTGGACTCAAGTGGGAAAATAGTGGAGCTTGCAAAAGGTGGGTGCCCTTGGAAGGAGCATCTATACCACCTAGAATCTGAGCTGTCCCCCCTAGTGAGCATCACCTTTGTTATCTACACTGATCAGGCTGGACAGTGGCGAGTCCAGTGTGTACCCAAGGAGCCTCACTCATTCCAAAGCCGGTGAGTACCCACAAAACTACCCTACCTGCCTTCAGGTTCTGTTTCAGTGCTGTTGGGAGTCTGCCACCCTTATGTATCATCTGTTCTTATATATAGGCTGCCCCTTCCAGAGCCATGGCGGGGACTTCGGGATGAGGCCCTGGACGAAGTCAGTGGGATACCTGGCTGCATCTTTGTCCACGCCAATGGCTTCATTGGTGGACACCGCACTCGAGAAGGTGCCCTGAACATGGCCCGTGCCACTCTTGCCCAGCACCCAGCACCTACGCCCCTTGAAAATGCTGTAGTTAAATAAAACTTCATCTCTGACTGACCCAGGCCCTTATCCACCTATTAATTTTCTCAGACTTGATAAATTCAACATCCTACGTACTGGGTCCTAGGCTAGGTGTTTTCCCACTGCTTCTTAGCTTTGCTTTTCGAACCATTTGACAGCCATCCTAGTGGGCTGCACAGGAAGCTCAGCAGTTAAGAGCATTTTTGCTGTTGCTCTTGGAGAGGAACCAGATTCAATTCCCTGCACTGACATAACTGTCTATAACTCCAGTTCCAGAGGATCCAACACCCCGTTCTGACTCCGTGGGCACTAGATACACATATGTACTCCCAAGTAACATTTTAAAAAATAAAGAGAAGGGCTGGAGAAATGGCTCAGCCATTAAGAGCACTGGCTGCTCTTCCAGGGGCCCTGAGTTCAATTCCCAATAACCACATGGTGGCTCACAACATAATAAATTTTTTTTTTTTTTTGAGGTTTAGTTATTATGTATGTTGTGTTCTGCCTGTATGTATGCCTACTTACCAGAAGAGGGCATCAGATGGTGGTGAGCCACCATGTGGTTGCTGGGAATTAAACTCAGGACTCAGAACTAAGACAGTGCTTTTAACCTCTGAGAATCTCTCCAGCCCCCTACCTTAATAATAAACCTTAAAAGAAAAGCCATCTGAGGACTAAATAACTTGATCAAATTCACAGGTAGTTAGAAAATGACAGTAGAATATTGGTCCGTGGACCTAATCCTTTTTTTCTGCTATATCCAAACAACGTACTAGGAAAGAAAACACAGCCTGGTAAATGAGTAGAAAACAAGAAGACTTTATTTACAAGTGAGAGTGAGGGGAGTGGGGCTGAGCAGGTGGTAGACCTGGAAGAGGGTCCCAAGGGGCAGAGGTTGGTGATGTCTCAGTAAATAGTGGCACTTCATGAATGGAGCCTCCACCTCCAGCTGGGGGCTCCTGGGCCCGGCCAAGCACTGGGCTAAAGCGAGGAAACTGGGCGTTGACAAAGTACAGGGGGATGTGGGCAATTCGGCCTGTAGACCAGCACTGCAGAAAAAGGGTAAAGAAGGTGTCAAGAGTTTGAACTTCATGATAGGCCAAAACTACAGAGGCTCCAGCCATTCGGGAGACATCTACACACGCATACTCATACACACACACCTAGCTTTGTCTACTCACCACACTGAGCAAGGCCCCTTTGTTGAAAGAAGGATGGAAAGTGATAAGCTGGGCCTGGGCTCCTGGCTCCCCCTGAATGATGCCACTGTGGCAAGAAGAGAAAGATGTGAGGGATCAGTGTTGGGAGGGAAGTTTGTGCAGTTGCAGTGTAGTCCAGACCCAGAGGTCTGCTTGGCACTTACCAGGGTAGCAGTTCAAACACAGGGCTGTTTCGAGTTCGAAAAAGGAGGATGACAGGATTCCCATCTTGTACCCGTGCATTTCCTATAAGAAATGAGTCGGATAATATAGGGAACTCTGGAAACCAGGTCCCACAGAGCAAGGACAGATTTAAGGCTGTGATTTAAAAGCCCTTTTTCTCTAGTGGGTGTAATGGTGCACACCTTTAATCCAGCAGTGGGAAGCAGAGGCAAGAACTACCCAGTGAGTTCCAGGATAGCCCATGCTACTCAATGAGACCCTGTCTCAAAGGAAGCAAGCCCCATTCTCTTTGTTCCTTACCTTTCATGAGCACAGCCAGACGTTCACCACTAGGGTCCCAAACCATGGAGTGGACCTCTCCCCCGAGCCTGTGACAGGACAGGAGCATTCAAATGTGGCTCTTCCAACTTTGTATCACTCCTCCCACAGGCACTGAAACCTACCTCTCCTCTCCATCTGGTGTCTGTATTGTCGTCTCAGAAAGATCTGCTACGATCGTTGCTGATTTCGCACCTCCAACATGTCCCTTCTCTGTTCCTGAAGGGCAGAGGTTTCTAGCATGCAGTGATGGGTTGGTTTCCTAGGTTTCTATACTTCCTTCTTCCCTCAGTGCACTCCACAGGCTGTTGTCTCCCTCTACCACCCCATATAAGCTGTATTATGAAATGTAACTCACCACATCCTTCTGGGAATGACAAGGAATAAATTAGTGTTTCCCCTAATACAGTGAACAGCAGTCGACTCCCATCTGGACTCCAGCAGCCAGTCTGGGGACAGGAAGGAAAAGCCAGGAGAAAAGAAGTCTATAACAGGACTAAAGCAAGAGACAAGTAGAGGTATGGAACCATCGAGGGTGATCCAGGCCCGTTTAAAAAAAAAATCCCCAGCTTCTGTGAGTCCTAAGCCCCTCTTACCTGACAGCGTCCTGAGAGAGTTGGCCACCGCTCACAAGTCCACATCTGGGTCTCCCAGACTCTGAGCCAGAGAAAGACAATGATTATGGCCTGGGGCCTTCATGCTCCAAATGTGGGTCTGTCCCCACTTTTTGGTCCCCAGAATCCGGCCCAGAAACCAAGTGCCTTTCTCTAGATCTTGGCTTCCCTCAGCTTTTTATCCACTCACCGAAAGACAGCTGAAGGAGTAGTAGCCAGGACTTTGCTGCCATCTGGGGACCACAGCAAGTTGGTAACCCCTCCTCCTCGGAACCAGGGAAGGGGGACACAGATTTCTGTTGAGACATCCCATACCTGAGAGGAAGGGAAATGGTACAGAAACTCAGAGCACTATCAGTCAGCTCACTTAGGCTACCCTCTTCTATGCACAAAAGCCCAGAGAAGGGACACAGAAAGAAACTAACTTCTCAACATGAAGACCTGGGTTTATGATTACAATGATTGTTGTCAGAGTAAGATCTGGGATTAGCTCCCTCACTATATAAACTGAAGACAGACAATCTCACTCCCTGTAAGATTTCCACCGCCAGGTGAAGAAGGCTCTTGTCTCAACATAGGGGTGGAGACCACTCACCAGAATAGCAGCATCTACAGGGGAGGCCGAGAGCAGCCGTCCCCCATTGGGGGCCCAAGCCAAGCTGGTGACTGGTGTGTGTCCAGGGTGAGATAATACCTGGGCGCAGCCAGAGGAAGGTCTGTGGGATAAACAACAGGGATAGAATAAAAAGATGATAATAAAAGCTGGAAGGTGGTGGCTCATGCCTTTAATCCCAGCACTCGGGAGGCAGAGGCAGGCAGATTTCTGAGTTCCAGGGAAGCCAGGACTACACAGAGAAACCCATCTCAAGAAAACAAGGATGGTAAATAAATGCATCAAGGAAGCTACAGAGGCTAAGTGGCTAAGAACACCTGCTGCGTTTTCACAGGGTAGGAGTTTGCCTCCCAGCACTCACTGACCTCCTGCACCTCCAGCTCCAGGGTATCAATGCCCTCTTCTGACCTGCCAGCACCCAAACACCAGGAAATGAAAATGTCATGATTCCATTTCCTTGCTTTTGCTAGAACCCCTAACCCATAGCCTCTAACTGAAATCCATGTTGAGAAAAATGAACAATAATGGTGGAGGTTAGAGGGAAGATCTATGGAGAGCCCCTGATTTGCCAGGATAAAAAGAAGCTAAAAAATGAAATAAAAAAAAAAAAAAAAAAAAAAAAAAAAAAGAAGAAGAAGAAGAAAAGCTTTAATACCAGCACTTGGCAGATGATGCAGTTGGATCCCTGAGTTCGAGGCCAGTCTGGTCTACAGAGCAAGTTCTAGGACAGCCAGAATACAGGATACACACACAGAAACTGTGTCTTGAAGAAAAAAAAAAAAGAAGCCGCAGTCCAAATCTCTGAAGACGGCTCCTGGCAGTGAGTCTAAAAGGCTACACTGGTGTGTCATTCCCTACTGTGCTGGGTCACCAGGGAGATTACCCCAAGGATCCAACTCCACACTTCTCTTCTCAACCCCTGCACCAATCGCCCCTTCTCATCAAAACATCTCCCACTTCCATGTGCCCACAGCTTTCTATTTACCAAAAAAGAGCTGTATGTGAACTGACTTCCACTACTGGGAGCTCTTCCCTTTCTACCCAGCAGTAACCACCTTTAATTCCTTTGAGGGCCTTGGCCATCGACAGATGATTAACTTTATAGTGAATGGCAATAATCTTTTAAGTCAGCTCAAACATGAGAGCTCCAACTCACAGTGGCTCCACTGTCCCTATAATGTACCTGTGACACATGCCACATGTATGTGTCACAGATAAACAAAGATAAATCTTTGTTTTATGTGTAAAACCATTTTGCCTGCATGCCCGTCAGTGCCCATGTGTATGTAATGCCTATGATGGCCAGAAGAGAGCATCAGATCCCCTGAAAAATCTTCTAAGTCTTATAGTTATGAGTAGTTTTTCAGCTAACTTGATCCCACAGCTGCATCAGCCCCCAAATAACACAGAGATGTGGTATTAGATATAAAGCTGTTGGCCTGTTACTAGCGTTTCTTATTGACTAGCTCTGTCTTAAATATTAACCCATTTCTATTAATCTAAGTGTTTCCACGTGATCTTATCTTACTGGAGATAGGGTCCAGACCTCTTCTCTCAAGTCCCTACATCTTGAATCTCCTCTACTACATCTCCCAGAATCCTCCTTGTCTCCTAGTCCTTCTTATTTGCCAACAGTGCTTTATTCATTAACCAATAAGAGAAACATAATTACAGAATGATATCTCCCATTACCTTCTCTCTATCCCTAAAATAAAAACATTCTAAAGGGCAGCCCATTGTTTTTGAAGCTTCCTCCTACATGAACTGTTACTCTATTCTCAATAAAACTTTGCTGGCTTCTCCTTAGGGGAGGAAAAATAAATTTCCTAGAAAGGGGATAGAGAGATGATTTAGTGGTTAAGAGCATTAACTGCCCTTCCAGAGGATCAAGTTCAATTCCCAGCATCCACATGGTGGTTCATAATCATCTCTAACTCCAGTCACAGGGTGTATCACTCTCTCCTGGCCTCCTCAGATGCTGCATGTACATGGTACACAGACATACATATAGGCAAACCACCCATATGCATAAAGTTAAAAACAAAAAACAACAGTGGTGATGCACCTCTTTAATCCTAGCACTAGGAAGGCAGAGGCAGGCAGATCTCTTGAG